TTTTTTTCAGCTTTAATTGAGTTTATTGGTACATTTTAGGTATACAGTACAGTTACATTCATTGTTGGGATCTTGTACCTCTACATGACAAGTCTTGGTTCTCATTTTTTCCCCTTGTCCCTGCTCTCCTCTCACTCCCTCCTCCCCTCCCCATTTATAACCACTTTATTTCCATTTTTTCATTATCTCACATTTTTTTCTTTGCCCTTTTTACCCTTCCCCTACCCATCCCACTTTCCCTACCCCTTTAGCTCCTTTCTTCCCATTTCTCAATGTCAGTTATCTTATTAGGATCTTCTGTATTATTGCAGATTATTCACACCAGAGAGACTATTCGGTATTTACACATGTGTGCCTTATTTATTTCACTTAGGAGTATATCTTCAAAATGTTAGAAACTAATTTTTCAAAAAGGCAAACTTGCTGAATGAAATAATTCTACTCACGGGAGTAGTATATAGTCTGTTGCTCATAATCTCTAAATCAGATATTTATGGTGCAGTCTGTGCATTTCTTTCTATAAAATAGTGTCACATTGTCATTTGATACTTAACTAATACCATGTATTTCTTTCCATTTAAGATAAATTCGAAGCACATTTTCAAGGGGACATTTCAAAGCAGTTATTTCCAGTTAATCTTGTCAGAGAAATCCCTTATTTCTACCTGAAACGGAAGCACCAACTCTTAGGTTAGTACTGAGAACAATGGAATTTAGAGATGGTCTATCTGCTGCAACCTGATTACTGTGTAAAGACAGAGCAAAATTTTTCATGTTGAAGAAACAGGTAGGTGCTTGGGCATTGTTATGGTGGAGGGTAACACTTATTTTCATAAGCTTCTAAAATAAAGCCAGGACCTTTCTGGAAATTATGTAGACCAATTGTCTGTGCACAGTGGGATATTCTTGCTAATTTGGAATGGCACAGGACCAACTTCTCTCTAAACTCAGGTTGTAAGATGACCTCTCTGACAAAAGAATGAATCCCATATGCCTCTATTAAAATGACATTGGGAAGAAAGGAGCAAAAGGAAATGAAACACTTGAAGCACATTTTTAATAGGTATAAAACAGTGAAATAAATCCAGTTAGTATCAAATGATAAAAAATAAAATTCTACTTTTTGCTTCAGCTCTAAGAGAGCCATGCTTACTTTTATTTGGTCTTTAAACTGAATATCTTAGATTCAACTTTTCATTTATAAGTCATCATAAAAAGATTGAAACAAGGCCCAGTGGAATTCTGATTAACATCTCTGTGTGTGATTTCCCAGAAGGAGCTGAAAGAGGAGCACAAAAGAAAACAGAAATACAGTCTCTTGCACTCATGGTAACCTCTATTAATTTTCTAATTTCCACCTAGGAAGCTCTTCATGCATTTTATCATAACGTCCTTTTCCAGAGAGTTTGATGCTATATTAATTACAAAGATGTCACTGTTGTTGCTGAATTTTGAAAAATTAGGTCAGCATACCAACATTTACTATGCCTAGTGTTTCTTTCGAAAGGTTAAGATGACTTAATCAGTTTGGAAAGTGTCAGTTTTAATGTAGGTTGACAATGCTAAGAAGTAAAATTATGAGCAGAACTCCAATATTAAGAGCTTTAAACCATTTTGCAATCTTACAAATTTTGAATATGGCATATTACTTAAAAATTTGTTTCACTTTTACAAATACACAACCTGAGTTAGTAGGTGGAGAACCATAATTTTCTTTAGAAGATGAGTAAAACTAAATAACCACCAGAGTGTATACAAGTAAATGCATGTTATCATCAGTAATATATAAATTACAAAATCAGTATGTTCAAAATGAACATGAGCTTTCTGACTTTTCAATTTACCTTACAAAGCCCCCCTTTGGCATGAATAACTTCCTATGCATACTGTCTTTCCGGAACATGACAAAGAGATTTTGTCCTAATCTTTGTACATATCTTTGCATGATTCTATTTAAATTGAGAACCTATCATGGTTAAATTTTTAACTCTGTTTTGGGTAAAAGATATCAGGTGTCTTACTGATAACTAGCAAACTTTCAGACTCAGATATCCAATGTATTAATTGATCACTGTTGAAGATTTAATATATAAATTAAAAGAAATTTCAAATCTTTACCAAGTAAAATTTCTATTCAAGGTATTTTGGAAAAATGGGTATGGACCATGTTTTGGTTGTTTGTTTGTTTTTTGTTGTTTTTTTTGTTTGTGTTTTGGGTTTTTTTGGTACCAGGGATTAAACTGGGGTCCTTGCGCTTGCAAGGAAGGCCACCGAACCACTGAGATAAATCCCCGGCTGGAACATTTTAAATTCTATTTCTGCTTAGTGTGTCAGGTCTGGTTATAACTCAAATCTATATTTTAACTCTTAATACATAAACCAAAGGAGCATGAAATCTAGAATAGATTCTCCAAGTTATTTCTGAGTCATAACAGAATTTCAATATCAGTTCTTTGCATGATTTGTAATTTTCTTTTTGGGCATTGCTTGATTATAATTTTTTGTTCTTATTATACAAGGAAAATAAAATATATATTGTTTTTAGAGGCATCTGTTTTATTACATAAATTATATAAAAATGTAAGGGAATGAAGTGGTATTTCCCAAAGTATGCTTTTTGGGTACTAGTTCTATAGTGACATACTATATAAAAATAAAATGTGTATTAAAGAGAATTCACACCACATAATCTCACATTAAAATCTCTGAAAATCACTACAATAACTCAATCTTATTCTTTCTTTACTGATTACATAACAAATTATTGACTGTTTTGTGAATGTGTTAGTTAGCTTTTTGTTACTATTACAAAATACTTGAGGCAATAAACTTAGCGGAGAAGTTTATTCTAGTAACAGTTTGGAGGTTTAAACCCATCGCTTGTTAGTCTTACTGCTTTGGGGGCCTGTGACAAGGCAGTGAGTCATGGCAAAAGTTCAGAATGGAGAAAGCTGCTCATCTCAGGGTAGAAAGAGAGAGAGAAGAGAGGGGAGAGGGGAGAGGAAAAGAGAGGAGAGGGAAGGGAGGGGAGGGGAAAGGAGGGAAGGAGATCGGGTTTCACCATCCCCTTCAACAACAGGCCCACAGGTATCTGAAGGTCTCCTGCTCGTCCCTCTCAAAGTTCCTATCACCTATCAGTAGTGTTACGTTTGGAAGTAAATTATAACAGAGGCTTTGGGGGAGCATTTAAGATTCAGACTGTAACAGTGAATATGTGGTCAGTACAAACTGGAACAAGTGACTCATACCTGGGAAGAAATTTAACGTCAAATTATTTAAGAGAAAAGATAACATATCATTCTCCTAAACTTTTGAAATAGGAAGATAAATTAAAAATGAATATTTAAGGTATTTTTGAAGAAAGGGAATACTGCTTTTTTGCACGCATGCATTTATTTGTCTAAGAATCCTCAAGTATATACTATAAAGAAGTTTGAGAGGGAGTAAGAATCATTTTTCTGTGTAAGGAATTGAAAAACTGCAAAAAGGGGACATGGGACTGCTGAGCAAAAAATGCTCCATGACAAACCCGTGTATATTTATAATAATTTAAGGGAGGTGGGAATGTAACAGGGAATTAGTGGCTGCTTTTGCCAACAACAGAGACCTTTCCGCGCATCTGCAGAAATCCAGTGGGTAACTCACAACAGGATAAAAACTAAGCATCTCTGCCTCCGTTTTGTATCTACCTCTGTTTCTTGAAGTCGTTCCTTCTTTCAGTTACCTTGGATTTTAGGAATAACACGTCTGATGGATAAACAACTTATGACAAGACTCAAAACTACCCTTTATCCCAGGCAACAGCAACTATCTTGTCAAGAACAACTCTCTCAAAGTTTGACAAAGACTGGTTATGTGTACTTCTTGCTAACTACTTTTGGTTTCTACTTACTTGAAACTCAAGTCTTCATTAGTATCCTCAAAGAAAGGGCTTAGGCCGCTCAATCCCCCTTATTTTTCCAGCATAGCCATATTAAATCAATTCTTTCCTGATTTTACCATTTGCTTTCTGAAGTAAATAGCCAGTCCTGATCTGATTAAGTCAGGCCACTCTTTGGCCTAAGACTCTAATAATAGAAGGTATGTGTGGGGATATTTAAAAGTTTAAAAATGAAGAACATTGAATATTTTCAATAAATAAATTATATTTGAACTACACTAAGAATACATATGAACATCACATTTCCTTGGCGTATGAGTAGGATAAAATGTAAGGAAGATAGAGGTTATATGGTGAAAAGAATGTGAGAGACAGAAATTTGAAAGGTTAGGAAAATAAGGGAAAGGTATATAGAAGGAGAGCATGGAGTCCCACAAAAATAAGTGGAAATACATAGGCTGAGAAATCTCTTTATTTCTAAAATGGACAATATAAATACACTTCTGTGATTCTGGTCACAGGACATATAACAGTTGAGCTATGAATTTTAGAAAAATTTTTTTAAAAAATCATCCCATCTTATTCTTCCTTTTAAATGGTAATTAGCCAGTCAACTATTGTCTGCAGCTCTTCAGTTGTCCTTTGTCCTTAATGAAATTCTCAAAAAAAAAAAAATCTCTAAATGAGCCAGGCATGGTGGCTCATGACTGTAATCCCAGCACACGGGAGGCTGAGGCAGGAGGATCACTGTGAGTTTGAGACCAGCCTGGACTACATAGAGAGTTCAGGTCAGTCTCAACTACATAGTGAGACCCTGTCTCAAAAAACAAACAAACAAATAAAATCTCTAAATGAAACAGACACTAAAAGCTCAGGAGCAGAAAAATGTGCTTTGTTTCTCCTAGACGGTGCTCAGACAACTCAAAAATTAAGAATGAGAATTTTATTTTGAGAAAATTGAGACAGAAAAATAAAATGCAAAGGGATGAAAGGCGGAAGCCAGAAGGAAAGTCTATGAAGCAACAGGAATGAGTTGGAGCAATGTGTATCCAGACAAAGCCCTGCCCTTCCTAGCCATATTTATACATATCCCTTCCAGAGAAAACATCCGGCTCCTCCGTGGTGAAGCAGTTTGTGTCTGTATTTGAAATTCACGCAGTACCATTTATCAGATGTGCTGTCTTAGAAAATCCCCATGTTCTTTGTGTCTCCACTTGCCCTGTTAAAACAGAACATTAATATATACTGTAGGAATTGGTCTCTTTTGGCTAAATTATATTTGCTCCACGCCATTCACTTGACTATTGAGACCTTTCCCTATCTGTTCTAGAAGTTAGCAGTTTGTCTCTGCCATCACAATGTAACTTCCTTTCACTTTTTCCAAACTGCAGAAATCATTTTCCTTTTCCTCACTTACATAGGTACTCACAACCCAGCGCAGACAGAACATATGTCTTAATGATTTCAATTTGGCTCCATGGTGTACGTCTCCTTTTATCAACACTGTGGAAATGGCTTAACTTTCCGCACAAGTGCTGCCTGTTCCTTTACATATGCAGTACTGGTGAGGAGAGGAAATAACTGAAAGAAATCTTCCTAAACCTGCTGTTTCCCATCAAGAGTTATTAAGGGGAAATGTAAGCACTTTCTGTTTCTTTTTATTTACTAGGACTCAGTTAAATTCAAAAAGATACATATAGCTGAAAGGGTATTAAAAGATTGCAGCTTTGGTTGAATTCCAATAAAGCTATTATTTTAGTTTTTTTAGCAAATTTGAAACATGAAAGCAAGAACTTCAAACTCTTTTCAGAAAAAGAAATAGAGAAAAACTACTGTCTGAGAATACTGCTGAGGGATTTGGTTTCAGATTGTATGTTTGCAGATAGGGCTTTAAGCATACAGTGATGGTTGCATTCCACCAATTTTTAAGAATTTCTTCTCTATTTTCACAACAGCACCAGTAATCACCACTTTTTCTGATTTGCCTTCTAACACCTAAATAAATAAATAAATAAATAAATAAATAAATAAATAAATAAATAAAATCTGTGTTAAGGTTTAATTTTCATGTTAGTTTTATAAAATATTTCTTCCTTGATTCTCCCGAAGGAGGAGATATTAAAAAGCAAACTCCAGAAGTGTCCACATGACCACTGTGTAGTAATATTACTTTATTATACTTTACTTTATAATTATTAGGATCCTGAGAGTATATGCAACTCTGAAATAAATGATTAGTTTGTAATAGCAGAGCATCTAATTAAGTAGAAGGGAATTATTAAATGTATTTTTCTCTTTCTGTTGTTTTATTTTCTCTCTTCTCATGAGAAATAAGTTAAAGATAATAAGGGAGAGGAAAAAAATATGAGAAACTGAAAAAATGGAAATAAAGTGTTTGTAAATGTGGAGGGGAGGAGGGGGTGAAGGAAGGGCAGGGACAAGGGGAAAAAATGAGAATCAAGACCTATTATGTAAAGGTACAGAATCCCAAATATGAATGTAACTGTATTGTATACCTAGATTGTAACAATAAACTTAATAAAAAGAAAAAAAAATTTTTAAAAAGAAAGAAGTTAAAGAAAACATTATATCAAGTGCAAGGCTTCTACCCATGAGATAAACCTTATGGAAGGCCATGTTCTCTCTCTTTTAGCTAAAGTAGAAAGCACTAGAACTGAAATCATAATTTTCTTTCTATAGCCAACAAATCTAATTTCTGAGAAAATCCTCTATCCTAGAGTTATTTTGGTCCTGAGAAGTGCTATTTCGCCCCCAAGCGAGAGTGCTGTGTCACCTCTTGGACTAATTGTTGGCTGGTATTAGGATCCACGATGAGGCTATTATTTCATGTCTTTTTCATCCCTGTGCTGATAGGTTTCAAAGCAGTAATGAGTTATCACCTATCTAAGCCTAGGCTACAAACTCTGTCTTAGTGTACTTTTTCCTCCCTCATACTGTACATGATTTTTTAATGGTTGCCAAAGAGCAGCCATCCAGTTCTCTAACACATTAATGAAGCAGGGAAACTCTCACTGAGTTCTGGCACATTGATCTCACCTTTTAATACCCTGTCTACTTTGCTTCTAAACAGCTAGCCTGCTCCCAGTGTGTTTAATATTTAATCCAAGACTCTAAAGTTATCAGGATTCCCTAGAACATTTTTCTTCCTATTATTTCATGCAAAGATGCTTATTCTTGTCTGAGCAAAAATAAAATCCATTGCAGACACTTTAGTTTTCTTGTCTACTCAATTGTATGCAAAAGTATTTGAGAAAAACAATCAGAAATAGTACAATAATTAGTGGTGAGAGAATATTCACTCACAGCCTGGAGTATAGATTACTGAATAGATTCCAAAAACAATTGTGGACATTAGCAAAATTCAGTATTCAAATTTGTTGTTTTCTGTGTTTCTTTAACTGAGTTAAAAAAACTTATTGAAAATTCTTAATGAAGTCTTTTTTCGGGGGGGTACTGAGTATCGAACATGGATCCTTGCTCTGGTGAGGCAGATGGCAGAACCACTGAAATAACTTCCCAGCCCTTAATGAAGTCTTTAAAAATATCTCAGGAACATTTAATGATGTTTTGAAAATAAATTCAACTCAGTGATAATATAAGCTTGATTTGAGTACAAAAATAATATGTCAATATTGAGTATTTATGTAACAACAATTAAAGTTGAACTCATGACATTTGAGAAATCTAGACTGGGAATTTAGTTCAGTGGCACTGTGCCTGCATCACAAGCACAAAGTCCCAAGTTTAATCACTGGTACCAAGAAAGAAAGAAAGAAAGAAAGAAAGAAAGAAAGAAAGAAAGAAAGAAAGAAAGGAAAGAAAGGAAAAGGAAAGAGAAATCAGCAACTACTGGCTTTTTATCATGTGGGACTTTTTGCTATTTCATCATCAGATAATGCACATTATTTCATTCAGTAGCCATTCTTTCAACGATATCTCAATATACGGCTCATTTCAAAATGAAGACATATTATTTTCTTTTCATTTGAAGAGAATGTTCTCTTGTGATGTTCTTGATATGAAAAATATTCAAATGGCTAATTTGGAATAATATTATTATGAAATAGTCATCATAGACTAAAACTGGGTTTTATAATGTTCAACAAGGGAAGTGTAAGGTTTTCAAAAATGTTATCTCAAAATATTAGCATGGTAAAAATTTAACTATATTTTCCTAACATAATCCCAAGTCAATTCTTACAACAAACCAAATAAACTGTCAGATTCCTAATATGTGGTAATAGTTTTGACATTTTTAAACAAAATAACTTTGTTGTATACAGTTTAATGGTTAAAATATTTGTTTCAGAGTAGCCTGGACTAATGTTTTCTGTAGTAATAAAAAAAAATTTATATCAAAGCCTAAATTTGCTTGTAATCTAAACTGATCTTCCAAAAGTAAGAAATTATGAGTTAGCACTAACATCATATATATGAGTTTATCGGTACATTTTAGGTATACTGTAGTTATATTCATTATTGGGATCTTGTACCTTTACATAACAGGTCTTGGTTCTCATTTTTTCCCCTTTTGCCTGCCCTCCCTTCACCCCTCCTCCCCTCCCCATTTACAAACACTTTATTTCCATTTTTTCATTTTCTCATATTTTTTACTCACCCTTATTACCTTTCCCCTACCCTTCCCACTTTCCTACACCTTTAGCCCTTTTCTCCCTATTTCACAATGTCAATTATCTCATTAAGATCTTATGTACTATTACAGTTTTTTACACCAGAGAAACTATTCAGTATTTACACATGTGTGACTTATAGCACTAACATCTTTAAATCCATTTTAATATCCAGTCTCCTTAACAATCATATAAATATTGTCTCCACTTTATTCTATAAATAAGGTTTCAGCCTGAAAAAACACAATAATTTAGTTTTAGGTGTGAGTTTTATGTAAGTTTCTTATAGAACTGTAAGTTTTATATTTGTATTAATAATCTATTAAACTTTTTATACCCATCCTTACCATGGAGATAGATTAGTCTTCCTAATAACTACTTGTTTTCTTTCAACTTTTATAATAATTTTCAAAACTATTTTTAGTGGATCTTTCATTCAAGTGGTGATAATGAATAGAAATATTCTGAATCACTGAACATTAGCAAAGTAACTTAGAGGAGACATCTCTCTTAGTTAGATCCTTAGGAACTAGAGAAAAGGATGCAGGAAGTGGGAACAGGTAGAACAGAGGAAAGAAAGGTGCTAGAAAATGAGCAAAATAAGATATTCGTACGTACTAATTTCCAAAACAAATGTAACTATCATGTATCTCAGACACATACCAATAAAAATAATTGTAATAGGAAGAATTTATAAGTGATGGTCTTTAATCATTGTACAGACTACAATATCAATTATTTCTTATGAAATGATCCTACTTCCTATTTCCTAAAATACAATATTTGCTAAAAATTTGCCCAAAAATGAAAATAAGTATCTTATGATTTAAATATTCATGGGTAAATGGTGTATCTAAAATTCTGTTCTTGATTGTTCAATGTTTTACTTCTACTTTTCTTTTTTGAGATATGCTCTCTCTTGATGGCATAGGCTGATCTTCAATTCACAATCCTCCTTCCTGAACATCCCTTATGCTAGTATTATGGGATTACAGGAATGTGCCATCATGCCTGATGCTGCTATAAATATAACATTATTTCCCCTCTAAAACAATGATACATTTATATCTATATGTCAATATAATTTTACATATAGTGAAGAATATATTAACAGTCAAAAGCATTACACTGTATTGTTTATTTCAAACATTTTCTAATTTGTATTTATTTATTTATTTTTGGTTCCCAGGATCAAACTCGGGACCTTACGCTTGTGAGGCAGGCAATGGCACCACTGAGCTTAATCCCTGTCCCTCCAACCTTTTTAAACAGGATGCAAAAGTAAAAGTTCTAATTCAGCTTTCAAAATGGCCGTAGGACATCTATAGGCAAATAGGTTGCCAGGTGATGTTGATGTGATTTAACAAAAAATTTAATTATCCTAATTTATTCCTTGGCTGAATTTTAATTTTATTGTTATGGCTTCACAAATAGTTTGGGTTGTGATACCAACTGCTTATAATCAAATTTATTTGCCTTAATTAGGTAAATCATCATTTTTTAAAGCCTTGGTTATAGTTTGAGCCCTTTATATACAGATATATTCGACCCCAACATTTCACCATGAGTCTCATAAGTATACTCCTTATAACTAAGGATGCATGCTGAGGACATTGTGAAGATAAGGACAAATTCATAGTTATGGATGGAATAGAAGCTCACATTGTGAGTTTATCCTCCTTGTTTTCTGAATATGTTCTTTAACATCTATGTTTGCATTGCATATATGTGATTATTATTTACTTGTTAATTCCTTTAAATTGGCTCACTTTATAAATTTAGATACATAAGCATATTTATTATGATAAAGGAAATGGTATCATTGCCAAACATAGAAGAGAACTCTACAGTAAATGCAATAGCATAGAATTAATATTGCTTTTAAACCCAGATAGATAATTGCTATCTGACAATTAGGCTTTTAAATCCTGGACTAGATTTATTTTAAAAGAAAGATGTGCAAGCAATGAGAAGAGTCAAGTGTATGCTAACAAAAAATGAGTGACAAAAAGTATACCTGAAATGATTCATAGTGATGGTCACATGAGCAGTTCTTTGGATATTAAAGTGTTTCAGAATCTAGATCACAGAAAACAGAATATATTCACCATGTGGAAAGTTAAATTCAAGGTAAAAACATATTTTAACTGTTCATGAACATGACAGTTCAGAGTACAAGTGACAAATATGGAATTATAATCCACCCTTAGAATGTTTACTACAATTAGAAAAATGGTCACTTTAGAAAATAAATGCATAATATAACCTTAAATTTCTGTCTACAAAGGTGAGTTACAAAGCCTGAAAAAAATCCCTGCTAAAACAAAAGAAAACAAAATGTAGAAATTTTTGGTAAAATCTGGCAAATATTGTTTCAAATAACTAGCTGGACTTTTGGCAAATAAAAACAAAATTCTAAGAGATACAAAAGTGAAAGTAATATAAATAAGTAAACTAAAATCAAAGCAGAGATTTTTCTCATGATAGAAAGGAAATATGCCTGTGCCATAAAATAAGCTGAATTAGAACTGAGACATTTCCATGAAATTAAGAACACCCCAAACTATTCCCACGCTGAAAATTAAAGATGAGAAGAAAATGTATCCGTCTTCCCATTATAGGCAAGAGAAAAAATGTCTCTACTGGGAAGACACCTCATGGCCAAAGGTGTCTTTACACAGTCTTAGGTCTGAATTTATTTGTAAATTGAAGGACACCACAAGCAGAGGAAATATTATGGTTCTAAGTATCCAGCAGCATCAAATACAAATCATGCTTAGAAGGATGTACCAGGCTTTACAGAATTTCAATAAAGATAACTGAATAGGAGTTCATAATGCAAAAGTATCAATCTCATTAAACAATGAATCACATGAGCAAACAGCTAGCAGAAACGCTACCCGCACAATTACGTTCACAAATATTTCTGATTTTATGCAAATAAAATGGAGCATATACTGTTTAAAATATGTATTATACATGTTTGTGATACAGAAAGAACTCGATCACTGTGGAGAGTTGCTATGCAGACATATAGTATTTTCATCTTTTTCTTTTTTATTGAGTTTATTGGTACATTTTAGGTATACAGTACAGTTACATTCACCATTGGGATCCTGTACCTTTACAGGACAGGTCTTGGTTCTCATTTTTTCCCCATTCCCCTGCCCTCCCCTCACCTCCTCCACCCTCCCCTATTTACAAAGACTTTGTTTCCATTCTTTCCCTTTTTCGTAGTTGTTCTTCTCCCTTATTTCCTTTCCCACTTCCCCTACACCTTTAGCCCTCTTTTCTTCCTATTCATCTTTTTCATCTCCATTTCCTCTTTCCTCTTCCTTCTTCCTTCATCCTCACATCCCCGTTATATCTGTAAAAGTTCTGCTTCCGTGTTTCCCATTATCTTTTACTTTCATTTTTAGATTATATATACTTTTGGTTTCTCATGTAAGAGAAATCATAAGATATTTAACCCTTTGTATTTGAATTACTTGACGTAGAATTAGGGTCACAAGATGCATTAATTTTCCTACAGATGACTCAAATGTATCTGCGTTTAGATCAAAGTAGTACTCCATTATTCCATTATCTTCATCTGTACTTCGGTTGCTGGGGTACACAGGCTATTTCCAAGATTTAGCTATTGTTGAGTTGTGCTGTTATAACCATGGGTGTGCATGTATCACTATAATATGATGTCTTTTAACACTTTGGGAAAGATACCCAAAAATACAGTTGGGTTAAATAGAATTTCCATTTTTAATTTTTGAGGTATCTCTATACAGATTTTTTAGAGTGGTTTCACCAGTTCACATTATCACCAATAATGGTAATAATTATCACCTTTTCCCCAACATCCCTGCCAGAATTTGCTGTTTTTTCAGTTCCTAATGATAGCTGTTCTTTCAGGAGTAACATAGAATCTCAGTGGCTTCCGTTTTTGTTTCTGTTTTGGCTTTGTTTTTGCTTTTTGAGTTAATCTCATGCTCAAAGATGCTGAACATTTTTTATATACTTACTACCAAATTATACTATTTTCTTTAAAAAGTGTCTATTTATTTCAATATACCATTTTTAGTGAGATTTTTATTTTGGTGAATCTGATTATTTTATATTTTATATGTGCTTCATATTCATCCTCTGTCCAAGCAGTATCTAGCAAAAAATAAATAAAATTTCACATTCTATGGGTTGTCTCTTTGCTCTATTGTTTATTTTCTTTCTGCATAGAAGCTTTTTTTTTTTTTTCTTTTGTGTCCGGACTCAAACTCAGGACCTTGTGCTTTTGAGGCAGGCACAGTGCCACTGAGCTAAATCCCCAGCCCTGTAGACGCATTTAATACAATAAGAGCCAATTCTTTTTTATTCTTTCATTTCCTGTGCAATTCAGGTTCCGTTAATAAAGTCCTTGCCTATAACTGTGTGCTCATGAATTTTGCCTGTTTCATCTTCCAGTAGATTCAGAGTATTTGTTTTAATATTTAGAACTTCAATACATCTTTATTTTATTATAGGATAAGAAATTGTATTAGTGTCTATCTATCCTTTTATGTCCTCTAGTTTTTATTTTATGGAGGGTGCCAACATTTGATACAAAGATATTTATAGTTTTTTCTCTCTCATTGAGTTTATTGGTACATTTTAGGGATACAGTATAGTTACCTTCATCATTGGGATCTTGTACCTTTACATGACAGGTCTTGATTCTCATTTTTTCCCCTTGTCCTTGCTCCCTTTCACCCCCTCCTCCCTACCCATTTACAAACACTTTATTTCCATTTTTTCATTTTCTCATAGTTTTTCTGTTTCCTTAATACCTTGCCTCTACCCTTCCCACTTTCCCTACACCTTTAGCCCTTTTCTTCCTATTTCACATTGTCAATCATATCATTAAGATCTTATGTATTATTATAGTTTTTCACACCAGAGAAACTATTCGGTATTTACACATTTGTTACTTATTTATTTCACTTAGGAGTATACCCTCAATATGTGTCCATTTTCCTATGAATGAACCTAATTTCTCATTCTTTATGGCTGAATAGTATTCCATTTTATATTTATTCTTGTTGGATTGTTCCAGTTATCAGCATTAGTGACCATCTTTGTCTGTTCTGATCAGTTTTAACTTGAAGTCTTTTGTGTCTGAAAATAAGATAACCATTTCTGTTTTCTGGGGTTCTGGATCATGGAATATCATTTTCTAAACTTTCACCTTTTGTCTATGAAATTCGTTTTAGGTGAAGTGTGTCTGCTATTGAACATATATGGAGGCATTCTGCTTTTTGATCTAGTTTACTACCAGCCTGTGTCTTTGATTGGGGAGTTATAAAGGCTTATTATCATCAGTGAATTCTATCATTGTGCTATTTTTAAGTGCTTATTTATTTGGCTTTATTTCCTCTTTTGTTTACTCTCCCAGTTAGATGTGTACTTTCATTGGTGCTCTTTGGTGCTGATAGCCTCCTTGTCTATCTAAGATTACTCTGAGTATTTTCTCAAATGCTGGTCATACATTTCTTTAGGGTTACTTTGTCATGGAAAGGTTTTCAGATTAAAATCCACACTGCACTTGCAGTTTGCAACAACCATGGAATTTCCTTGTTGCTACAGCTGCCAGACCATTATTTCGCTGAGGTGCGGCCAACCTTCTCTTTGCCTGGGGAGTTCCCAGTGACAGGTCTCCCAAGCCTGGGAGCCTGGGTTAGCATTCCAGGGTGCTGTGTCATTTCCTCTGCATTGTCTTCTTTTTCTCATTTCTCTTTGATTTTTCTTTCTCATTTCTCTTTGATTCCTGGAGCTCTTTTTTCTCTTTTTTTCCATCACTAAATTATTACCAGGGGTCTGGACTCTAGGTCCTGGACTTCACTCTACCATTTTTTCTTCTTCTGTTTAAAATTTAATAAGACCAGAAAGCGTGAGCAATGAACTAGAGACTTAAAAAGTAATCAGCTTTTAAAACTAAATAAAACAAAAACCAAAGCAAAACTACAAACATAATATCTACAATAGACATATAATAGCTGTTTAAATGTTTCAAAACATTGAACATCACTTTTAAATACTTTGAAGATAATTAGGAAAAGGAGATATTAATCTAAAGTCTGGGCAGCAAAGTAACAGAAAATAATTAAATAAAAATTGAAGAGTTTAACTTCAATGGCATGCCATCAAAGGAACTGTAAAAGTTGTATTTCCCTTCTTTCCTAAAGAAGGGAATGGAATTAATTTGAGAAAATGAAAAATGATACAAAGTCTTCATAAAGAGGGAGAGAGGTGCTGAATGGAGGGCAAGGGAATGGGGAAAAAAATAAGAACCAAGATTGATTATGTAAAGGAACAAATTTCCAACAGTGAATGTTATTATATTTTATACATTAAATGTACCAATAAAATTAATTTTTTAAAAATTATACTTCAAGAGAAAAGGAAAAAATATTTTAAAAGGAAAGCTTGGGATGAAAGAAAAATACACAGATACTTTGGTGAACACACGCATAAATTGATATTATCATTGATGCTACAAAAAACAATAATTTATTTATGGTGTTAAAAATAGTAAAAGGAAATCCATAAATACCAAAGAAAATAGCAATAAGATGAAAAAGAATGGTCAGCTTCAATAATTTTATATTCTTGTGCTATTTGGTAAATAGGGTAGAAATAATGCTGAACTATAACTGATTCCAACATATCTGTTAAAATGGAGAGAGCAAGACAAAGGAGCTCACTTCAACTCAGACCATCCAAACATGTATGAAGGCTAAAATTTCCAATGATGTTTTCTTAATTGGACTTCCTGGGTGTGCTCAGATGAGTGGAATGACTCTGAACTGTATGCTAAAGAAAGAAACCTCCTGCTTTCATTGGCTACATCTCATGGTTCTAAGAACATTTCTTTGTGGTCATTAATAGTTCATTGAGTAGAACTGGAACTTTCAGGTGTTCAGAGTGCTACAGCATATTTGATGGGAAATTCTCTTCCTGGCAAAGTCTAGCAATAGATAACAGGAAAGGAGAGTGTTTAGCTACTTTCGCTTTTCTTGGGTGATAGCCAACTCAAATTAACAAAATTATTTTTAATCTTAAATATTTGGTCCCTCTTCGTGATTGCTTTATAGAGAAGAGCTGCAAAACCAATGAGTATATCTACCTATGTATTCTTAATTCTTTTTCACTAAAAATCAGTGACAGTGGATATAAACCTTCTGATCCCAAAGTTACTAATCTTTTACTTTAGTGTTTATTCTTCAAACTAAGGAAGACTTGGGAAAAAATGAAGTGTGAGAATCTGTTTTGTTGTCAAAATTTATGAAATTGCTTAAATTAAATAAGCTTTTAGCGGTAGAGAAAATAGTATTTTCAAAGAACTTGAAAAATTCTTTCCCTTATTATTCTACTCCAAGAAAGCCTAAAATAATTCCTATTTCCTAGATGTATATAATCAATTTGACAATTCTTTTTCAGTAATTCTGAAGATCTTCCTAATTTTATGAACTGCATTGGCATTAGAGTCTGGAGTCTGGCAAGAATTTTTTTTTCAGCTATCAAAACTACATTGTTGTTGTATAATGAAAACATACAAAGCCAAAATCATATAATTTTGAGTATAGACATGTTCAAACAGAAATCTATTCAATAAGGTTTTGACCTTTAATGCCAATGGAAATAACACAAATTGAAAAATGCTTCTTTACCAGCTGCTATATAAATATTTGGCACAGGAAGAGGACTAGTCATCCCAAGGACTCGGGGTTTCTTTTTTTCTCTCTCTCTAAATGGCTTTCTTTTTAGCCATTAGCCTTTCTTTCCTAATTTGCTACAAGGTGAGGAAAACCATAACTGCTGACAGGGCACAAAAAGGGACCCGCTAAAAATAAAGTTGCGTGAAATACCTAAAACACATGTGATGCCCAGCATCTCATAAAGGCAATTTTCTTGCAGGAATATAGATGACAGTATCATAAGCAGCTAATGAGAAAGTGAGAAGGGCCAAGGAGAAGGAAGACTGCTCTTTGGCAAACAGCCGGCTATCACCACGGTGCACCTCCAGAGCTGTCAAAAATCATACAGTAATAATTAATGGGGTCAATTTCATGGGCCAGAACTGGTTACCACTGTGTCATAGGTGTGTGTAAAATACACAAGTGTGTGTGTGTGTGTGTGTCTGAATTTGGTTTTGTGGCTGCCTGAAGATTAATAAACAGGCTTATCTACGTTTCTTGTGTGATAAAAGCAAATCATTTTCACACACATACAGAAAATAGGTTTTAATATTCAAGTAGTTTCAAAGTAAACATATTAAGTATATAGTAAACATAAGGTCTTATTTTAAAGCATCGTGGAATATTTTAGAGGGATTCTCTTACTTTTTATTGTTTTGCAAATTATAAATCTAAAATAGAATCGATAATTTGTAATTTTGCATATATAAAATCAACTGTCTCCCTAAACTCACTACTTTTTAAAAAATTCAAAGTGTCAAAATAGTCATTTAAACATTTCCTTCTAATAGATATTTGGAAAAGATAGGTTTTCCTTAAAAGGGTAAGCTTCTTTGTTTGCATCAGTCACCTCTGATGAATATTCGAACTGTGTGGTAGTCAAACACAATCCAGAATAAAAATAAAAACATACCAACATTTACCATTGATTTTTATATCTCCATTTGGATTTACATCTACAATCAGTTTTAAAACTTTTCGTTCGATCAGAGCATTTGTGTTTAAGAAATTTCACAAATATATTTTAGAAATTAATTCAATCTTGTCATTTTGTCCATGTCCCTATTTCTTTAATTCACTTTTTATTTGGGAAAGAAAAACAATCAGGTGAGTTTTATTAAGAGACTGGATATTTTCAAATGTTAAATTATGTAGTTTTTATTTTTAACCAAATGACACAATTTTGTGATGCATTTAACCCCACAACTTTGTTATTGGAGTTTCTGGTCCCAGGGTCCCTCAAAGCCTCTCTTTCCTCCTTCAGAAAAGGTCAGTGTGGATGCTCTTATTCCTATATGTATAGGCCTTCAATAAACAGAGATTATTTTCCACCTAACCATGGGAGAAATAATAATCTGAGGTACTATAATATATAGGAATACACTGTAAATAGAGTATATGTTGTTTCTATTGAGGAAGCTATAGACTATGAATCAAGAAAGATAAATTTGTGATAATATCATTAAATGCATATAATGCCACTAATTTCTGGTCTACAATGTACACGTCTGAGAGTTGTGATGGATTAAATATCTTCTAAATATGAAATTTCATTATTCTGTTATTTCTAGCCTTCCTGAGCAACTTCTCTTTACACACTTCTGTTCTTAATGCTATCTGACCTGACTCAACCAGCCATTCTTCCTAAATTCATAAATTCAATATTGTTCCTCACTAAAACTCTTTTCCCCTGAGTCCCTAAAAAGGCCACAGAAATACTTGGATAATGTACACAGATTACTGAACACCAAAACAGTTTACATTTTGCTCACAACACTTTATGCATTGCTTATAAACTACTGCTGTAGTCTGTTCGGTTTGCTGTACAAAGCCTGACATTCTAGACAGCTTCATGGAATGGAATTTATTTATTACAAATTTGGGAGCCAGGAGTGGAGCCAGTTGTCATAGATGGTGATTTCTTGCCATGTCCACAGTGTGAATGAGCAAGGCAATTATTTGTAGTCTCTTATACAAGGGAATTAATTATATGAGTATTGAAGAGAACTCTACATTCATGACTTAATCATCTCCCAAAGATCCTCCCTCCTCATTTTACTTTGAAGAATAGGATTACAGCATATAAGTTTTATAGGGACAGAAATATTTAGACCACAAAAACTGAATAACTTTTATAGAACTAACTTTTACAAGGTACTTAGAAAGTGTTGGTAGTTCTGGTTTAGAGTGTGTAAGTGTGTCTGAGTGTGCATCTGAAGGCAGAGATTCTATTGCATAATAGAATCTCAGAGAGATTCTCTGATGAAGTCTCTCACTTACCTTCAGGGCTGACAGATTGTGTGCAGCCTGCCTCACTAAAACTGTAGAGGTAGAACGTTGCCACCAGCTTAGTACATTTCCTAGAATAAATATAGTGAAGCAATAGTACAGTTAACATGTTTGTCATTTTGATTGGCTTGGAAGAAGCTCAGGGCAATATTAAAGCTCACTTTGGGTGTTTTGGGGTTGGTCATGGAGGAATGACCTTGTCACCTGTATCTGCTCCCTCACTCCTTCCTCTCTGCCATTGATCCCCCGCTCTACTTTCCAGCTGCCATGAACTAAGCATCTATGTTCCACAACACACTTCTTCCATGATATTTCTTCTTTGAAGCCATCAGACCATAGACTGTATCCCCTGAAAACATAAGCCAAATTGAACCACTCCTTTAAATTGTGAGTGCCATGGTACTGTGGCTCAGTGATAGGAAAGTGACTAATAAAATCAAATAATCCTTCTATTCTACATAATTTTACATTATACAAAATTCTACAGAATTTTAGGGACACTTTTCTTCTACTGAAAGAAGGTTCTTGGCCATTCTGTCCACCAGTTTAAAGTGATCCTTTTTATATTATCTTATACTCAGCCTTTATCTTTGAAAAATGCCCAACAGTAAACATTTTTGGATAATAATACCTAAGTGAATTCACTGTTCTAATTACCAAAAGGCAACTTTCTATAACCTTATCAGAGCATATAGCAATAGAAGAACCATTTAACTAGATGATGTCTAGAGCCCTTTAAGTCCATTACAGCTGACTACATTCGTATGCATATATCTTTCTTACTCTTTGAAAAGAAATTAAATTTATAAATTCTGAAACATACCTATACTGAACTCTGTCAATTTAACTGGATGACTTTCTTTACTACCCTCTACACCTTTTCCAAAAAAAAAAAACACCCCCAAAGCTAAGAAAATTTCAATTTTAACTTGGTTATCCATTAACTCTCCATTTTGTGTACTTGTAAGGTCAAGAACAGAAGTTCTAATGTTAATTTAAATTGACCTGATTTTCAGTACAACTAGATTTGTAGAAATCATATATCTGAAAGCTTATTTCTTAGTTTAACTTAGTTATAATGTATGTACATATATATATACACATATGAATATATAATATATCTATATGTATCTATATTGAAATGTGGCTTTATGAGAAAGATTTAAAATCTAGGAATATGGTTTCCTAGTAACAAGAATCGTGTATGCATTCTTCAAGAAACTCCCTCTTTACTATCATATGCCTCCAACTTATTAATAAGGTGATCGTTTCTGGGCTGCGGATGTAGCTCAGTGTTTCTGCCATTTGCCTCTTGAGCTCAAGGTTCCAAGTTCGATCCCCAGTACAAAAAAAAAAAAAAAAAAAAAAAAAAGACAGGTGAGAGCTTTTCAGAAGTAGCTTCAAATTACGTACAAGAATTCTAACAATCAAAGTATTGGTATAATTTTACTATAAAAGAGAGAGATGCCAATTAGACACGACCAGAAGATTTCTTTAGATCTGACTCACTCCCTAAAAAAAGATACATGAAAGAGTATTCCCATGATAGTCAATACTAATATACTATTTATCATAAATAACAACTAAAATAGTGTATGTTACATAGAATGAAGAGTCCGAATTCTTATATGCAAAGCTAGATGTTTCAAAAGAACAGTTTAATTTAAAAATGAGGTTAAATGCTTAAGACTTAGAGACAAAACATTAAATGTTATACATCTCCCATTTTTCTCCACAGGATGAATAGCACTTTAGTTCTAAGTTACAAAGAAAGAAAACATTTGGAAAATATATTTTTTAGCTTGTTCTT